CACCCCCCCCCCGGCCACCGCGCCACTGCGCTGCGATGCTCGCGCTCCGTATCACCCGAGAGATCATAAAAATCGAAGCGAGCGGCCGGCGACGGCAAAAGCTGGAAATATGGGACGGTACAGAGCTGGGTGTCTGCGAACCTGGAGAGAGGCTTACTCGTATTTCTAAACCCGTTCAACTTCAGGAAGTTAAACATTTCGGAAAGCGATTTGTACTGTTATGTAGTGATATGGCAATAACTGCGTATGAACAGGAAAAATATTCAAGAAGGAAAAATGAAAATAATTTCTGTACCTGGAAATTCCAAGATATTCCAAATGTTCATTAGCGTTTATACGAAACAGGTTGCGAAATTACTGATCTTGGCTAATAGGATTTTAGCCGTGTATACTACTAACAAATCTAGCTTCATGAGATACAAAAAACGCATAAAATTGAAGACGTTTCATTTCTAACACTTTTTCACATAATTGTGAATAAATTTACTATTTTACGGAATTCCTAATAAAATAAATGTTACAACACACATTTTAGACAGCTGCATCATCTGCTAAAATGATTTTGAACCAATAAGAGAACAACTCATCTGAAGTTTTAGATTATACATTTGGTAGGGACGTTTAAAATATATATTTTCACTGTTGTGTTGTGTCACTAGAGTGTTGTCATGCAAAATGACTCCATGACTCGAACTACTTTCTCTAACACGTTGTGTAGTAAAGAAAGTTCCAAATTTTTCCAGCGTCTTTCAACAATTAAAATATTAAAATAGAGATGGTTTCCTCAATACTATCTGTTAAGAAACAGATCTTTAAATAAGGTCATGTACAATTTTCCGAAAATATTGTTTTCGCGTTATTAGTTGTGTGAAATATGACAAATTTGAACGATCAATCAAAAATGGCTGCAATTTTTTTTCTTTAAATTATTTCTTCGTGTGTAGAAAAGATGGGTAAAGAAAGAGGTGCGGATGCCATTTTCGGCGAACTTGGTGTTTTTGAATATTGCCAAAAATTAACATTGCAAAACAAGCCATATTGATGCTAAAAATTGTTTACTTAATGAAGACCGATCGTCAAAATTAGATCTTTAAATATACTCATTTACATTTTTGTGTTTAATTATGAGTAGTTTCGCGTAATTTTTGCATCTCTTCAAAATTGCAAATGTAGATTTTCCGCGCTCCTTTTGGCAAAGATAATCACGTAATGTCATGGCGCAATAGAATGTAAATGCCGCAACATGGCAGTTTAAAATTCTCAGAATAACTTCTAATTGTTTGGAATATTTTTCAGTTACGCAAGGCAGTTTTGGATTGTCGTATTTGTGTTGAGGTATTATCTTTCCGACACCGTGTGACCAATCTCCATAAACGTTGGCACATCTACGTGTTTTTTTCGCCTAGAAGGTTTATGTGCTGTTAATTTTGTTGTTTTCGATATTACTGTGCCTACTTAGAGACGTGCAGAATCCGCAACTAAATGTGAATGAGAGTGACAGAGAGAGGCAGAGACAGACAGAGATAGACACACAGACACAGACTGACTGAAACAGGGGCAGAGAAACAGAGAGAGGGAGAGGGAGAGTGAGAGAGAGAGAGAAGGGAAAAGGGACGGAGAAAGAGATAGATGAAGGGCAGAGCAACATCTGCAGTGTTCCGCTTGTAAACGTTTATAATGAAAGAAAATACGTGCTGTTTTAGCACCAATAACTACTTAATGCATTGGTACACATATAGACGGCAATTTTTATGATCATTTACTTAAATAAAATCGAAACTTAAACGACATACAAGTGATCAAGGGCAACATTCGGCCCAGCGTTTCAAAATTTGTGCACCCAGGGCTCTGGGAGATGCAGCGCGTCTGTGAACGGGCAGATTATGGGCAGACGAGGGATACGTTCCGCGCCGCGGCCGCCAAAATTGCACGCCGCGCCTCAGGGCTTGGCCGCGCTGCCGTCGCGCCGGTGGCAGCTCGCGGCTGCGTGTCTGCGCGTGCCTGCGCGTGGCGCGCAGCGTCGCGCCCTTCCTCTTTTCCGCACGCGTGCCTCGCTTCCGCCCCGCGCACGCCGCTTGTAATTAGAACGTTTTCTGCTTATCTCGGAGCCTTGCTTGCGCCGCACCGAAATGACGTTCATATTTCGAGATGCTGACGACCGCCGCCAAGCACAACATGGAATTACGTTGTACTGCAAGGTTTATCGCTCACGGTTGTAGGTGTTAATATGAACGCGCAGTGCCATGTAGGATACAAGATTGCAGATCTTTGTTTCACTTGGTTGTCGTTACAATATTTCAAAAAAAATAATGCGTCAGATTGCACTGAAATCTGCGCATTATCATGTCAGATTGATTTTTACAATGTGACCTGAAATTTCCTTTTTTCAAAATTCCTTCAATATTGTAATACAGAACTATATCTGTGAGTTCTTAACATCTGAAAGTTTATAAATAATTGTAAAAAATGTACAAATGCAATAGAAAAAAATATTTTTTCCTTTTGCTGTTGGTCGTCCTAGTATAAACATTGCGAAAGAGTGGGAGAAATTGTTATGTGGTTGTACAAGTTGTAGAATATTTTCTCGTAGCTGATGTTACTTTTGGTTAAAAATGTCATTTCTATTATTCTCATTGAAGCCTGGTATTTTCTATTGATAAAAATAAGTCAGTCTAATCGTTTCGTTGTTCATGCGAATCTTTTCGAACACTTACGTTTGGATTGTTGGGCAATGTCTAAACACCAGTCAACGCAACATTTTCCTTTTGTATTGTGCACAACATGATCCTTTTTGTATTGTGCCCGATATTTTACAAAATCATCGCAGGCCAATATAATAGACGTCGATGTCAGTGATTACATGACATTTGTATCTGAACAGCGTCCCTAATTTAATTTTTAATTAAAAATTATAACATTCTGAAATCGACGTACATTGGATGTTTCGTTAATTTTTTATGAGTTGTGGAAGTAGTTAGGTAAAATTATCGTCCAACCGAGTACATAAATGCTAAATACGCTTTACTCCTAAATTACAAAAAAACATCGTTTTACTAAATCAATTATTCTCTTTTTTAGAACAACTAATTGTTGCATTTCAGATCTCACCACACTAGCTTTTCAGAGTACGAGGACGCATTGATTTGATTATATTTATGGTGCTTCATTTATGTTCAGAAGCAAGGGAAGGGTGCATCTCTAAATTTGCTATAAAATC